TCTTGCGAAATGACAGGACTTTTTTAATATTAGACCACAACGGCACATACGTATTGTTTTGAAGGTTTTACAGTAACACTGGGTCGATCGCGACTAATTATGTTGCGCGCTCCGACAAAAAAAGATACTTTAACCCTAACATGGCTGGGTTGTTTTGACCATCTCACAGCCGGGGGGACCTCGGCCATCGAGTGACGTAAAATTATGAAACTCGGTACATGCATAGAACAACTTAACATAAACATACCCAAGAAATTTCATGACTATAGGTTAAAGGCTTTTTGAATTATGGCTAATTAATTATTCATGTGTACCAATGGTGCTCCGTGTACACTACCTACCTGGGGGAATTCTGTTTTCACGGCGCTAGCGACGGAAAATTTTCGCTGTGCAGCAACCCGTGGTCCGAATTTTAGGTTTTTGTATCAAACGATGCGCGAGGCTCGAGGCTAAAAAGTCAGGAGAGTTTGAGGGGGGGGGGGGCGGATTCCGCCCCATCCCTGTTAGGGCCCGTCCCTGTTAGGGTTAATTAAGGAGCCTGAAAGTTGACCCCTGGTGGCGCGCTTCCGGACCCCTCGAATAGGAAAATTAGTATAAAAGTCGGAGTTTCTAAAATTATTTTTGGACCAGGTACATTGATTTCTTATGAAAATCACCCTCGAAAAGGCCTTTGTAAATTGCTACTAGCATCTCATGGAAACTAAAAAATCGCACGACGTGAAAGAGAAATATGCCAAACACTCTCACTTCCGAAAATCTAAAATACATGTGGACTAGTGGAACTCGGAGCACTCGTGCAAAGATGAAAATATGTGAAATAATTTTGTGGCACGGTCGTCGGGTAAACACTGAAGCTTAAATAGGAGACTAAAATGTCTTTTGGGACACACAACCTTTTTTTTAATGAACTTGCAGGACTAATTCTCATTTACAAACAAATCTAAAATGACCGTTGAGAAGAACTGTATTAAAGCAAGCCCGAGTAAATCTAGAATCCATCGGATGTGGGTAGGTAAATCTTCGCGTCGTTATCATTTTCGTTCTCACGAACAATTGTAATGACAGTCTTGATCATCATGAAAAACGACCGGCCTTAACAGGATGGCTTTAATATAATTGATCTTCAATCACCAGAGCAATACTGGCTCGCTAATTGCAGTGATAGGATATATAACTTCCCTTGAAGATACAACAAATTAACAATTGCGGCTAAGTGTCTTGCTCAAGGACACAGGTACTACCGCACTGCAATCCTCTACAGGGTGGTGCAAAAGGAAGGAAACCCACTTTTGACAGCAATTTTCTCCTACTTGTTGAGCATATTCAAACAAAATGAAATTCAATTTAATGGTATTAAAATATTGATCTTTAAAGGGAATATACATCATTTGCTTTTGCTGTAATTTTCAGAAATGGATGGAATTGGGGGGTTGGAAATATGTAGCAAATATAGTTACACTGACTTTTATGAGGTTTTGGGTTTGAAAATGCTATAAAAACCAAGAAAATAATCATTTTCCTGTAGTCTGGTTCCCTGACTCCATATAAGAAGAAACAGAGCAGTTTACAAACATTGGGGAATTGTAAGGTCAGGGAACCAGTCTAGCTGGCTTGTACCCGTTCATAGGTGTGTAATCGATTGCAAACAAGTGCGATGGTCAATTGGGGCCAGTATTTGAAAAAAAGCCAGTTTTTTCCAACGCTGGTCGGCCGACCAGCATTGGAAATTGATACAAAAATACGGCTTTTCTTGAAAATGACATTATACCAGGTGTCATGATTTTACAGGATGCTTTACACTGTCATTCACTAACAGTCCAGCAAGGTATTTCAAAATGATTTTGTAGTTTTATTTTTTGATGTTTGCAAATGTTGTATTTTCCCTTTAAACATAAGTGACAAAAAAATGATTGCAAAATGCATGTTTTGTCTCTGAGATATACGATAGTTTAAAAATTTCATGTGCCAAACCTTTTTGTCCACGGACGGCTTTATTCCATGAGCTTGACCGAGCTCCGGAGCTTGATTTGAAGATTTGAAGAAGAAAAAACAATATACTGGACTTACCCGTGGACAATAGTGATTTAGGTGACTTGTTTTCAAATTAGCATATAATAACCTTATTGTTGAGATTTTTTAAAATATTTTTTCACCACTACATTATAAAAAAAAACTAGTTCAAATAAGTTAAGTAAGTAGGTTAAAAATCCTGTCAAAAGTGAGTTTCCTTCTTTGTTCACCCTGTATAGCCAAGGTTAAACTACTCGTATGTGGTTCAGTACGGACTCAGTTGTTTCAGTGATTTTCAATGCATTTCACCTGTGTAATTCGTGCTTTTCTTAAAAGGTTCAATCTAGTGGATTTTACTTTGCTGTCCAGTCAACATAACATTATTTGTGAACCAACAGCACCGACTGCACTCTGCACTCAATTTGATCTTTCAAAATCCATTGTTTTCGCTGTGGCCTACGCGAAAAGCTTTAGATTGATTATACCTAAATGTATTTTTTCCGGCTGGGAAAGTAAGCGGTACTCGGCAAAAACAGAAGTGAGCAACGCATAATTTACGATCAGACATACATTCGACACCGAGTTAAATAATAACGAAATTCTTGCACTTTGTCAATATCACATAATTACCAAACCTGCGATCGTTAAAGAACAAATTAGGACAAGAAATTGTCCACCATCTCGGGGGAATTCGACGGTGCTAATCTTCGCTCTAAAATCGAATCCAATTTTGTAACTTTCTGGGGCATGTCGCCTCGCTTCGCAGCAAAAAAAAACAACCAATTTTAATCTGATTGAGAATAGGAAACCGGGCATGCAGAGTCGCACACAGAGAACACGTTTAAATGTTTCTTTCTCGGTATTATTTCAGTGCGAATTTTGTAATTTGGAATGCAAACGGGGAAATACAGGGCGAGTCAAAAAAAGCGGGACCCCAAAACAAAGGAATATATTTCATATAAAATAAAATATGTATCACCAAAAATAATTCTGACTTGGAAACCCATTTATTAAACTACTTATAAGTGAGAAAATTATTTCAATTGCTCTACACGTTAAGATTGTATCACTATTTAAACGAAGTAACCCTAAATCAGTGTCGTCCAAAAAAAAAGCAATTACGGTGTTCTGACTGTTTGGAACAACAAAGAAAATGGCACAGAATACTAATTTTGTTTCAACAACCCTGCCTTGACTAACAATAGGATTTATAAAATCCAACTTTTTTTTCCAAAGACCGGCTTTCAAAAGGACTTTGTTGAATATTGTTAACTTTTAAACTGAGGTTTTATCGATGGTGCTGTTTGAAGATAATTGTAATCACAATTCTTGAAATAACATTTTTGGACGAAACCTATTTTAGGGTAATTTCATTTAAATGGTGATATATTTGAACGGATTGAGCAATTGAAGTATTTTTTTTAATCTAAAAGTAATTTATTAAATTGTCTTAGGCCTACCAGCAATAATTATTTTGTGCTGCATATTTTTTTTTTTAAATATGGACTATGTTTCTTTGAGTTTGGGTTTTGCTTTTTTGACTCAACCTGTACAATCAAGTTTTGACTGAGTTATTGCTGAATGGTTTAAACCGTTGTTGGAATATTTTTAGCCTTAAATTGGTCCCATTTCTATAAACTTGTAAGCGGGAGTTTTACTTGAAAACGGTCAGCGTGGTATTTTCCAGAACTTTGTTATTTATTGAAAACCACATTCAACGTCGTGCAAAGGCAATCGTTCATAAAATCAAGCAGAGTTGTTTTTCTTTTCCAAGCATTTCCTTTCTTTGAAGTAACTTGTATGACTGTCTTTTCTACGTTTTTGTCAGTAAAAGCGTGCACCATAAGTGCCATAAGTTTGAGCCCATCTTATTGCAAGATGACTTACGTCCATTAGGTAAGGTTAGTGACCTTAACATTTTCTTTTCTTTCCTGTTCAAGCCGGTATAGGCCCTATCCGTGCTCGTTAAAAAAATCCCTTTAATGGATTTCACCCTGCTAACGACCAAAGTTCGCAAAATCGTTATTATTTTGAACTATACCGTATCGCACTGCTGTTGGTTTTCTCCCAAACTGAATTGCTTGCGAAGATCGACACGCATTAATACCGCTTGAGATATGAGCAGTGCGCTGCTGATTCAAAAGCTGAAATTTGTTTAATTTAAAATAGCAGATATCGAAATGCGACTCTGTTTGTTCCAGCTGGACTTACGTACGCACGCAATCGGTATCGACCTTGAGTCCACGCCGTGGAATCCGACAAGTCCCCCACGAATCACACGATGTTTGACCGCTCGTCTTGGACGTTACTCCCGTACCTGTCGTCCGAAGTCCGGCAGTAACGGAAAGGATTAACAGGCTTGTCTGGTTTATCACTCTCAATCTCAACTATCAACCCTGACCTTTTGTTTTAAACCCCTGTGAACTAGAGACAGAAGGCAACGTGGTATACTTTCTTATCCTCAATCAATTCATTGTGGAACAGGAAGGGAGGTGTTTTTTCTTGAAAGAATTTTCCGACTCGTTGGAAACAGCGTCAGTATCTCGGAGACCCAAGGTTGTCCTCGGGAGAGATTTCTGACGCATCAAGTTTGACCAAAGTCCGGATAAAACATGAGCGTTAAACAGTTCAACAATTGTGGGTCATCGTAAAAGCACGTCTTCTGTTGTTTTTTTAAGAGACGGAGGAACCTTTGTAATCGCCCAGAAACGCACCTACCAATTTAATTAGAAAAACCTTTCTGAAAGTAAATATAGGCCTAGTGCTGTTCCCAAATATCCTGTCTGAAAGGTATTGTTCGGAAAAAATTTACCGAAGGTTAAAAACGGGCACACCTTTTTACGTGCGCTAGCAATGGAGTCCATATACGAGATCCAAAATATGTTTTCTCTTTTTCTCAAAATGTGTAGCAACATTCCCCGTCAACTGTACAATGCTTTCCCAATTTCCTTATTTATGTAGCTAAGTTTAAACGTGTAATTCACACTCACCTGCAGCCAAACTGAGTATATAGATTGCAGCGTTGGACTTTCTATACTTGGGCTTGCTGTAAATCATCCACACCAAGAAGTTACCGGTGAAGCCTAGCAGGCAAACCACGGTCAGGAGGGGTACCTCGTAGCCTGGTTTGTACCCGTCACTTCCAGCTTGGCCCGGTCGGTCCTCAGTCTCGGACTCGGACACCATTTCCCACTCCGTCGAATTCGCCATGATTGGCACAGAAAGAGATGCCACAAAACGAAGTTGATTGACAAAAAAATGCAAGTTTAACTCTCAGTGAAAGAAGTTAAAATGGAATTGTTTTCAAGATGATTGTGAATCTTCGTCTTACATTCACATCGCTTTATACTCGCTGTGACTGTGAGAGATGTGTGTTGTCTTGGGTGATGCTGCGTCGATCGTCCAGGTCTCATCTTCGGTCCGTGATGACGTCACAGATCGGAGGTGGGGCTTGATGTTGCGTAGTTAGTAGCTGTGAAAGTGAAAAAGTGAAGGAGAAAAACTGAAGAGCCTTCGTCGTTCTTCCCCCCCCCAAAAAAAAAAACACCCCCAATTCCCACCGAAGGCCAATAAATTAGCGCATAATAAAATGGGTGCATTTACATCAAATTTGAATACCTTAGCTCCAAGATACATTGACAACCATACAGTTCTCATATAGGCCTATGGGGAGCAAAAAGGTCTCAGTATGAATAATTTTCTTGTTGAAACTAATTTATGACAGCGAGAATTGAGCGTGCCACTTACCTGTACAGGTTCATGGTCGATTACAAGTCGATCTGCTAGTAATTGCTATAGATCATTGTTAAATCTCTAGGCTTTTTTGCTATAGGATATATTGCCTCAATCCTGCAAAATCATCCAATTGCCTCATAAAAAAATAGCATATAGCCTCAATCCTGCAAATTCCTTCATTGTTTGTGTATATGGTCCGTGGAGGGGTGACCACTGCCTGAATCCTGCAAAATCCTGCGGCAGTGACTGTCAATATGTTGAGGCTTGACCAGTGACATCCTGGAGCAGTACGGAGGATTTCAAGCATAACCCTGGCCTATATTTATGCATGGCTGAGCGAACATAACACAAGGTCCGGCCCAAGACCTTGACAAAGTGCATCCTACGAAATCAGTAACCCACTTTTGTCATGTAACCTCAATCCTCCAAATTCCTCCACTTTGGCAAAGAGGATTTTGAAGGATTCAGGGCGGTCAGGGTTAATTGACAGGAAGCATTTAGAAAGGCTGGGCATCTTCCTCGTGTTCGGTCCGTAGGTTTATTTCCCGCCCCACCCCAGCCGACCTAGCTATATTTTAGGTCCTTCAAAATATTTTTTGTGTGGATAGCTTGTCGTTAAGCATGCTTACTAGCTTGTTGAAAGATCGACAATTCAAGATGCGGCTAGACTTCTAATAATTATCGTAAACACAAAAATGTCCGATGTTTAGCCCGAGTCCAACATTTATCAGGTTTAAAAATAAAATGAATGGGCCAACACTTTTCTATTCGCTTGCTTGTTTGTAATCTCTGTAGGCCCTATGCCTATACTCACTTTCCTTTTTCTTGCATCTCGTACAGTTGTGTACACATTGTCAAACGGTTCATAAAATTGAATTTAGTTCCGTCATTCTGCCCCGTTTTTTTAAACACAAAATCGTCTCCTTGAAATGTCGCCAGCGAAGCGTAGAACGAAATGAACAGAAAGTGCACTCTTCATCAAATATTGACGAACTATAGTTGAAATATTTACCTTGAACGGTCATAAAGTAATTATCTTGACCGATACACCTGACCCATCGCTCTGAAGCTTCGATGGAAATGCTTATTGTAGATAGGGTGTGACTGCATTGTGAGAACTACATGTATATGCAAACAACAGACTATGTGTATGCATCATTACATGACGAAGCGGGTTATTACTTCCGACACCTAAATTGTGCAAATATCACGGCTTATCTATATATATAGACAGTTTACAGTCACGGCAGGATTCTTTTTTAGATTTGATATTTCGCAGATCCTCTGACAACAAAATGAAAACGGATCACAACTTCTCATTTAGGAGAGAACCTTTTAAAATTAGCCTGAGTGTCACCCGTTGTCTATTAACAAACGTCTGATATAATTACGTGAGCAATGCACATTTTATGCGACCCAGCATGCCGGCCAATCTGAGTCGACTTTAGAAATTGTGACGTCATTTCGATCAGAAAGTTGGACTGAACTGTTGATTGGTCAATTTGGCTGCCATGTTTTTTGTAATATAATAACTGGTTACCGAAGCCCCGATAGAAGGCGCCCCGCTGAATGGTCAATGTTGTTGCGCGTAATAAATAATCACCGAATCTGCTCGCATGTCATATAGCCCTTGCTGTGCAAGAGGATATTCCATAGACAATTTCTACCTTGCACGATTTGAGATAGAGGGGGTACCCCCATGCAGTGTTCCTATACACTCTACACATCTTCCTCCCCCTCCCTCTGAGTTGACACCCCCGTGGAGAATTTTGAAGTAAAAACATACTAGACTGCACTGTTGAAATAATACGTTTCCTTTGCCTTTAGTGCCCCCTTGAAAAGAAATGCATCCCGGCGGCCCCCCCCCCCCCCAGGGGCGGATCCAGGAATTTTCGCAGGGGGGGGGGGTTTCATCGGCAAAAAAAATCTGAAATGTAGACAGGGTTTTTTTTCTCCGCACACTTGGCCTCCGAAAATCATGTCAGAGCAGGGGGGGGGTCCGCATTTTTTTCATGAATATCTATGTTTTGGGTTTTTTTTTGACAGAGCAGGGGGGTTGACCCCTCCCCCGGATCTGCGCCTCCCCTCCCCCCCCCCAAGTTTGACCCTAGTCGTTCCACTGGCTACCCACTAAACCTTATCTTCACATGTCATGTGAGCGACTAAAACAAGTACTAAAACGATACACGGCTGGTTTTATTGTTACGATCAATTTGAATTACTTGGCTATGCAAGGCGTGACAACATTGACTTGTAATATCGACTTGGGATACCGGAAAAAATGAAGACAATAAGACACTTTTTAATTAAAATGGAGTCGGAAAAAAACCCCACGAAAACGGTAGTTCATAAGACATCTGAAATTTCAAATCTTCGGGGATTCTTTATTGCCTACAACCTTCCTATAGTACGTCCCGCACAGCTGCAAATTTTCCTCTTAAATTGATCACGTGATAAACAAAGCAACAAAGCACTAACTCTCTTTGTGCAAGAATTAAAATTCTTAAATTATGTGGGCTTTTCTTCGCCAATTCATGTCGCTTTTAGATAGAAAGAGCTCACAAAAAGAGACGTACTACCGTCGGAATAACCATTAACCAATAGGGAAAACCAAAGTGCAAACAAATTAGATTATGGTGCGAGTCTGCAGGTATTAAGCCGTTCGAATATATCTTCGGATCGGACACAAATGGACAATAAATCCTATTTCAATGATGGTGTTTTGTGCTCCCTCTTAATTGCATTCTTTTCCTCTTCGCAAGATTCTTTGTAAGAAAGCAAGCACTTGATTTAATTAGTTTTGATTTAATTATTTTTTATTATCTTTGTACATGAAATAAATCGGTAAAACATTTCAAAAACAACTTAATCCATTCCAAATTAAATCCATACTAAATACAACGAAAATCAAAATGGAAGTTCCATTTAAAGGCCACAATAAATGGGTTATTCTTCAATGTATAACGCAGACCTTAAAGGCTTTTACACTGTTTACAGCATTTTTTTGGTTTGATCTTAAATATTTTCACTTTGTCATGAGCATATGTTCTAGTTAACCAATTACCGGACGCCATATAGACTTAGATTCAAGTTGGTTTATGTCCCGTTCTGTTCGTTAGTCACGCCCTCATTCCCTTCCAGGGTTCACTTGCACAAACGCGCGGGGACGGTCCATCTTTCCTCGACCCCAAGTTGTATTCGTTGACTTAATCGCTTAATAGACACAAATACACAGCGCCACGGCGCCGACGGACAAATATGCGACAGTCTAACGACTTGTCATCAAGTCTAGACGCCATGTGCACCGAATAATTGAGGAATATTACATTATTATTAAATATTACTATAGGTTTTCCCAGACAATTTTGGAAAATGTGCATTTGAATTTGCAAAACATAATTTCAATTTGGCGCTGATTTTGAGAACAACGTATATCCGGGTTTCAATTTCGCAATAACTAGCATTCGATTTAATTTTGCATCATTCAAATAAACGAATGTGCATAGCGTTTCTATTTAAAGCATTTCAGATACGTGATTAGGCTTTCGGTTTGACAAAATGAAAATGGGCAAATGAAATGTTCAAAAGATATAAATCTTACCAAAATAAAATCAATCAAAATAATCTTGTAAGCATATTATTGGGACGGTAAAGGGAAACATCACGTGTCACGTTACATGGGATACGGGGGAATTTGTTGTTGTTTCATTGTCTCAATTGTATTTTAATGTCTTTCTGTATTTTTTAAAGTTCTGTCTCATTTTATCAGTTCTATTGCTTGGTTATATGATGCGATTGTGGAAAATGCTGAGCAAAAAAATAACGATTGCATTCATTGGTTTGTATATAGGATTTATTACAATGGGTGGTATGTTTTGAAAGACTACACCACTTGGTTTAGCTCAATCATCATGAATATCCAAAGTCAATCATTCACTCAAACATTCCTCATATATTGCTTTTTTGAACACATAAATGAATTCCAAAGCTTGATCAGGCATACGTTAAATAACACTGCGCCGGAAATTGGCTGCACATTTAGCGAAACAGATTGATAATGATAAATTAAAAGGAATACAGGATTGCGGATGTGCCTTTGATTTCGCGCTAAAATGAAATGTCAATATACCAAATTCAGTGCATATTCGGGAAATCGTACGCTGAGTTTGTACGACTGAATGCACCTTCATGGAAATAGAATCATCATTTGTTAAATAGAAACAGAGATTTGGAAAGTTCATTCCATTTCGCAAGAAAACGAAAGCTTCTTTTACAGATTCTTGTACACATTTTCTGAAATTGTCCGGGAAAACCTATACTAATCCGACAGGTAAAAAAAAATAAATACATAAGATCAGTCTTAGTATGGTGCATACCTCATTATCGTTCCAGACGTGACATTCCAAATGGGCTTCTATATATTTTCATACATGTACGTAAAACAAGCTAAAGATTGAGGTTTATACAAGTTCTAAAACTAATTTATGCAAACATATGCAAAGCTTAGTGTGGTCAAACAGTGGCTTCCTCATTGGCAAATAGGTTACATATATTGCAGATCCTGGCTACATTGAAACCTGGCATATGTAGCAAAACACATGTAACTTAAATTGAAGAAATGGCACAATTTTAAACAAAGTCATTTATTGATCATCATGCAATAGGTAACGAGAATCTTTAAAACTGCATTTGTCATTGGCCGTATGCTGTGGTTGGGGTGCCTGCCCCCATCATACCATATGCACGAAGACGCCATTTTCGATCGTGTTCCTTTAATCTATTGTACAAATTGTAAACTGTTGAACATGTCGTGCCAGACTATTTTATGATTTCAGGCATGCCAAGCCTCACTTTCATTTTTTTTTTAATGTGATAGCTTTAAATATTATGCAATATATGTGTTAATCACGAATAATAATGTATTCATCAGACGAGGCTGATGTTTGTTAGTAACGAACTTTTATTCATTGCTTTCATTTTTTTTACTCTCAAGTTCCTGACTGACTGTCCACTGACTGGCTCACTGGCTCACTCCCCTTAGTGTCTCGTCTTTGACCGTTTGTTGGCTTGTGCCGACAGCCGGGCAGTTTTATTGTAAAGGATTACCTAATAGTTGGCTAAATCCAGCTAATTGTACACACCAGATGCACTGAGAGACTTATTGTGAGTGTATGCTCTGCAACCAGCTATACTGCCCTTACCTTAGCAATTGTCTTGTTTGCTCTCAGATCTTCCTTTCTGCTACCCTGGATTACCCCGAAGACATTAACCTGACTTGCTCGGTGAAAAAGCGATTACAATGATCAAATTTCACCCAATGAATCTGCTTGTTAGTGGAACTATATGAAATATGAAACGGGTGTTCTCCCAGCGCGGGTGTCATTTCACGTCAAGGTCGACTTGTGAATTATTCATCGATCTGTTGTGGTCATCAGAACAATCAATTGGCTACTTTTGATATCACGCATTGGGCGTATTCCCCTGCATTAAACAATTCCATTATAGTTGACCTCTGTGACACTTTTAGAAAAAGGTTCATCCTTTTAACCAAATTGATGACCTTGGTAACCTAGAAAAGTATCGGAATGCCCCCTACAAGACGGTGCAGATGTTTCTTAACTTGATAACCAGTGACTTAATTCAATCGCATCAAAAGCTCACGAAATGTGCTGTCGAGTGCCAAAGTCATCCACAAAATTATAGCTTTGGGATTCGCAACACGAAGGACATTTCCACCCCTCCCCGACCATTTCTGTGTTTTTCCTTGTCTATACTTTGTTTCAATTGGGCCAATAATTTTCGCGTAGCTGAATAATAGTGTGCGGGTTAAAGGGAATGTACATCATTGGTTTTTGATGTAATTTTCAGAAATGAACTATTTGAGGGGTTAGTATATATAGATCAAATATTGTTACACTGACATTTTTGAAGTTTTGTGTTCGAAAAGGTTGGAAAAACTAAGAAAAACAAAAATGTTTAAGTAGTCTGGTTCCCTGACTCCACAAAAGATAAAGTGGATCAATTTATAAATGATGGAAAATTGTAAGGCACGGGAACCAGTCTAGCTGGCCTGCACCCGTTCATGAAACATGTAACCAATAGCAAAGAAAATTTGGACTGAAAAAATGGAAATTTGGAGCAGTAGTTGAAAAATAGTTAGGTTTTTCCAACACTGGTCGGCCGACCACCGTTGGAAATATACACAAAAATACAATTTTCTTGAAAATGACTTCACAACCTGAGGTGCCATAATTTTACAAAATGCTTGAGACTGTCATTTACCAACATCCTAGTAAGGTATTTCGTAAAAACTTGGTAGTTTTATTTTTCGATGTTTGCAAATGTTGTACATTCCCTTTAACTGACTGTTATGCTGTTATGCGCGACAACTGTCACGATTTCTTTAAGGGCCCAATGAAATGGATTTTTTTTATTGCAGTCCTTGAAAATGCACCTCGGTATCCCATTATACCTTATTTTCCATTTTCATTTTGCTGTTTTCAAGGGTATTTTGGTTGCTTTTGGTTTTAATGCTAATGCAAATTTCCATATTCATGAGCAAAAGTGTGTTGTCATATACCAGGCAGACACCTCAATGTTCAGTGTTGCAATGGGTTTGTGCACAAAATGTTGCCAGAATTGTTGATTCTTTGCTGTTGTAAACTTTCTTTTCTTTAGTGATTCGTTGTTGTGTCAGTTCATGGCAGTAAGCCAATTAGCAAACTTTTTTCACAAAAGTTTTCGATGTGCAATTTTTTGTTTGACAATTTCAACAGAAAACACCTTTTATAAATAGTGTCTTTTTCGTGCATTTAAGAGGATCAGAAAGTAGCACAAATTAAGTTCCTAAGAAATATTCACTACATGAACCCGTGCACATTCCACGCACGGACGACGATTTTTTACAAAGAGCGCTGAATTATTTTTCGCATTATGCAATAGTTTTTCTCTGCGGAAGATGACAGCGAAACCTCTTTATTTCCGACCCCCCCCCCCCCTTGACTCAAGACATGTTTCTCGTATCTGTCCTTGTCAAAAGTTTTTTCAACTCATTTTTTCTGGAAGTTACAAAAAGTACAGCGAAATTTTACAGAAAAATATAGACGTGTTGTTGTTCAATGCTCATAAATATGCACCGTTCGTTTATTACCTCAGTCCCCAAAACACAGTGTACTTTTCAAAAACCAAATAACTGAAAGCTGAACGACTAAATGTAATCCTTAGAGGTGTCCTACATTATGATATTTGGACAAAATGAAATCATTTTAACACAATATTCCTTTACTTACTATTTATTTTATATTGGGAAACATTCCATATATGGACATCACCAATTTTACGGCAATGACCTATCAGCCATCAGAAAGTGATCACGTGTCCAAAACAGTCAAATTTAGCAGGGAAAATATCGAAGCTTTTACTGAGGAAACATACAATGTTTTCAGACCAGTCTCAAAGGGTTTGTGCACAGGGTGTCAATTGTCGCCAGGTATGGAATTCTTTCCTTATATTGTACCAATAGTGAAGTATACCAGGTAGAACGGTGGTATTGAAGAGATTAATGTAGGTATATGGTGAGTATAGGCGTAGCCAGCGGGGGGGGGGGGGGGGGGGGGGGGGGGGGTAAGGGGGGTATTTACTAAAACACCCCCCCCCCCCAATATTTTGTAGAGACTGCCCTTTTCCATTCAAATGCCATTTTTTCACCAGCGCTCACCCCCCCCACCAGTATTTTGTAAGGAGTGCCCTTTTTTAACAAGTGCCGTTTTTATGAACAAGTGACCTTTTTTTAAAACGAAGTCGTGCCTTTTTCTTGTGCAGCTCGTTAGCCATTAATGATAAGGCAAAGGCAAAGACGACAATTGACAAAAGTGGTGTGAGGCTTGCAGTTTGAACGCGAGGACTGCTTTTAAGTGACAATTAAAATACATATGTAACAATTTAAAAATGTAAAACATAAATGACAAAATACGTGCTCCGGTTCTTCACGAAGAACATTAATGTGCAAGTTGAATGCATGGCTAAGCATTAGTGGGAGGTACTCATTGCGGATAGTACAGTTCTTTGCACAACTTAACCTAACCTTTATATCAAAGAAAATGCAGCGATCATAAATTTCAACTGCACCTTGCACACTCTGTGACATTTTCTCAAATTTCAGAAATAGCAAATGAAAACTGTATATACCCCTATGTACAGGATGTCGCATTTGTCAAACCCCGTTGAACCCATAAAGACCATGTTTTTACAGAGCTTCGTGTTTAACAGCTCGAAAAAAGATGCTCAAAAGACGGGCTTGTTCAGTTAATATATTGCGCTGTTCCAATTACCAAGGTCTATTGATAGGGATGTTGTTGCCATCGCAACGTAAGTACAGAGTGTCAAACTGCGCTGTTATGCATCCACAATCATGCTATTGACCTTTTTTTTCTTTTCTTTTAAATGGATCCGTTTTGGAGGCTACATGTACCTCCTCTAGCTACCTCAAATTTAGTGGCATCAGTTGACGAAAAATATGGAAACAGTTAATGCAATCTATGAATTTAAACCTAATTCGGTTTCTATATGCATTATATTCTGGCCAGTTTACACCTTATTCGTGCATACTCTTATAAAAAAAAAAAAAAATTTCAGCCATTGATTCTTGTTAAATTAGGAGCATTTTTTTTAAATCAGGTTCGACCCTCTTACCATTTTGTACACGAGAACAAAGCCATGTCCCCATGATACAAATTTGAGTGTGGGTGGTTTCACCTGTGTTTTCATCGTGTGTCGAAACATTTCATGACGAGTCGTGTAAACTGTACTCGTTTGGTTATAGCGATCGAGTGCGTTCGTTATTGGTCAAAATAATAACATGAAGATTAACAGAACATCGTGCAGCACTTGAAAATTATGTAACATTTGTTTTTATTCACCTTATTTTCATTTCCACTGTAGTTTTTTTTCACATGAGACCTGTTTTTTTTTAATTAACTGATTCTCAATTATGATTAAGTTGAACCTACTGAGCTCAATGAGAGGAACACAACCTGCTCACCTGTCTTTAACCTACATAGGCTAACTTTTTCAGAGCTGTTATGATTTGGGTTGCTTACGAAACAAAATAGTATGTGGTCACACTATTTAAATACGCAGTGGTATGGGTAGGCGTACTGATCGAAAGTTAAATGTTTGTGGCGAGCTCTTGACCAGCGAGATAGTCTGCTTTCGTATCGTGCATCCTTATGTCACCTGTTTGGGACGCCTTGTCAACTGAAAGGAGACTATCTGCTGGAATGACTGCCACTCTGATCTGGGTTGGCATTGGGGGTCGGTCGGCTTTAATCCTTTCAGCGACGCTGCTGCAAGTTTCAGACTCTTTCCCGCTTCTCACCTTATCATTTGCGCCCGAGCAACAGCGCGCCACCAACGCCTCGCAGCAGAAAGTCTCCCAGCATGTTTTGCGAAAACTTGCGTTGGTAAACGAGTACACCATGGGGTTCATGCAGCTATTCACGTAGGGTAGCAGCAGGCCGACATTTTTGATCTGCGGGGAAAGCAAGCCCGGCGCGAAAGGCGCGAGTAAATTATAAGAGACGAAGAGGATGTAGCACGCAACATACACCACGAACACCGTCAGAAGCGTCTTGGCGGTCTTCCAGTGAGAGTTGCGGTAGGGAGAACGGCCCATCTGAGAACTGACGAACTTGTTGTTTCTCCACACGTGTAGGACTATGATGACGTACAGCGTTGCCGTAACAACCACAGGGAGGTAGAACAAGACACCGTTGAGGTAGATTGGCTTGAAGGTGACGAACCAATCACCGTAGGAGCTGAGAACGAGTTTGCAGGCGAAGGACAGCTTCCCTGGGTACGTCTGGGCCCCGCCACCTCCGCGGGAAATGCTCTGAAGTGAAAAGACAAAGGTACGTTTATTGAGAAAGTTCATCTTTTAATTAAGGTAAAGGATTTTGTGGAACTGTAATTATTTTAGCGAAGTGGTCTTAGCTCTGTTGTTATTTTAGGTTTAAAGTATTAATGTTTTAAACGCGTCATTTACCGGGTGAGTAAAAACAAACGCATCCCAATTTTTGACCAATTTTGAATGAAGTTTTGCCTGTAGCCCTTTCAAAAGTTAGGATATGAAAGCCCAGTCATTAAGCTTTCTTTTAGTACAAGAATCATTCAAACCACTCATGTACTTTTTTAAGTTACGGAATTTTAAACACAAACACTGTTTTAAAGTTCTGTCCACGGATCACAAAAAAGTAGGTGTTCTTTCATACCCTTAAAGTAAGTGTTCTTTCTTATCCTAGAAAGCGCTACATGCAAAATGTCATTCAAAAACTGGTCCTGCACTTGGGATGCATTTTATTTTACACACACTCTACTGGCAATTCGTATTTGCCCGAAAACAGAAAAAAAATAACATTCACACTTATAGTAGAGCTCGCTTCAAACAAAATACTTGAGGATTGTTGCTTATAAATGTGTGCGAATGTACATAAGTTAACTTTCCTAAACTGCGAATTACCCGAAACATAAAAGCAAATGGCGCAGACACGACCAGGGTCAGCAGCCACAGTCCGCACACCACGATCCTCGTTCTCTTGACGGTGAATCTGATCTTGAAGGCCACAGGGTGGCGCACTGCGTAGTAACGGTCCACTGCGATGGCCGTCATGGTCAACACGGTGTTGTTGAAGCCCACGAATCGAAAGAACCGATGGAGGGCGCACTGCCAATCGTGAGCCCACAAAACGGACCACGTGACTGGGAAAAACTCCGTGATGTGGAAAATGACCACGACGAGAGCCAATATATCCCCTGAGAAAACAAAGAAACAAGACAATGCAAGCTTAGTGAACCTCTTCACAGAGCTCACCAAATATTTTCATGTATGTAGCCTACAAAATGGACGGGGTTTATTGGTGTTACCAGGCCCGGATTGCCCAATAGGCACAGTGGGCACTGTGCCTAGGGCCTACAAAAAAATCGGGGCCTACGAAAAATTTTGGGTCTACGAAAATACCACAGTGTGCCATAAAACAAATAAATAGACCGACCCACACACACAAGTGTGTATTTTCTTGCAATCGGGGACCCCCTATTGTCCCTCTTTTGTTTGGTCTTTTTAAGAAGATCTCCCATAATGTTTGTACACGATCGCCAAAGTAAGGACCCCACTTTTGAGAAGCGATTGACGCCCTTGTTGCCAGCTGGCTTAGAGCTAGGACATATACCACTCAGGGTGACCGTTTTAGCCGATTTTCGGTTAACTTTGACAGAATTTTTGTTAAAAAAACGAGTTTGACAGAAAATTTGACAGAATGGATTTTTTGGGCAGATTTCTGGCAGAATTCTGCAAAATGGTTATTTGACAGAAAAACAGCAAATTTGAACACAAAATTGTACATTTGTTTAAGAAAGCTTCAATCCTTTCAAACAAACCCTTGCATTAAGGGACAGGTTGGCTGGTCTAGGTGCTGAGGTTCACTGGGTAACGGACTTCGTCGTGGCCGGATCCGTGTTTTGCCGGAAAGTTACGCGATAATTTCACAACATCTTTATGAGACTATAGATTGTTTTAATTTGAACCTTAATTATGGCAAAAGTACCAATCTGCATGTGATTTTCAGTGTTTATTTTGAGTAATTCTGGGGAACTTGGCAGATTTTTGATAAATCTGACAGATTTTTGATGTGCATTTAGCAGAATTTGGCTCTTACGGTCACCCTGATACCATTTTATCCTGGCTTGATTTTGTACATTAATAGCATCAACATTGATTTGGTGCCGGTGACTAGGGCGGAGTAAAGTAGGGCCTACGGAACACAGGTGCCTAGGGCCTACGAAACGCTTAATCCGGGCCTGGGTGTTACGTGGTTATCCCATTTGAAACTTTTGGGCCAACCTGTCACTTAAGCAAGTCTTATTCATCAGTGACAGTGACTGAGTCAGTCAGGTACTAAGATGACTATAGGGTTCCAGACCAGTAAATAAACTTCCATTGACCCCAATGATAAATGCTCCCACTTCAGAAATTCGGGGAAATACTCACAACTCTCCAAGGTGTTCGAGACACACATCAAATTAAAGCTTATTTCATCATCTTTCATTTTCTTTTCAATTTACGGGGGGTCAACTGATGACTTTTAGGAGAAATTTCCATCCGAAGATGATCACCCTTAAATAGTCCTGAAGCCCATCGCCATTTTGAAAAACGATGCCTACACTCCATTGCAAAATAGAGCGCTTTTAGGGCCCCAATCTCATTCAATTGAATGGAACTACAAGCTCACAGTCCTGTGCACGGCTTCCACCCATATTTTTTACAAACCCTCCAGTTCATGGCCCACAGTATGCTCAAATACTGAAGATTTTGAGGGCATGCAAATCGTAATTTGGCCGGCGTAGGCAATTTCGGACCGATTTACTGGTCTGCAACCATATATAGGCCCCTCACAGACCAGCAAAGGTTATATTATGGGGGAATAGTAAATGACATATTCACTGACTAGTCTTGCTTCATGTCTACTTTAAATGATGAGGTAGCCAATAGACTTTTTCCAAGATATTTCATCCATTCACAATACCTAATCTCAAGCAATCTAAGTTTCCCATAAGACTTGACAGTGTTTTTTTAAAGTGAACAAATTAAAAGGGAAGTAGACAAAATCTATGAAAAAAACAGCATAAAAATGAGGCACAACTTACAAAGTTTACGCAGGTGAAGAGTTTTGTACTCCAGACATGAAACAAACATAGTGAGAACAAGTTTCGCAATCTTCGTAAATTGCCAGCAAAATATGACAGAATACAACACTATACAAAAAAGCAAAACATGAACAAACATAACATGACCCAGTAACGTGTTTTTCTATTTTAGACAAGGACAAAAGTCAAATTAAGTTTCGCAATTTTCACAGTTCCCAGCAAAGTTTGATGGTGTTCTTTGTTAGTTTTGTTCAGTCTGACCTTGGTTGTGTAAGGCGTCCAAAACGGAGACTTGTTTATCAAATTAACGGGTTGTGTTGACAATGTGCACAAAATGTTGCCACAAATGAATCAGAACAAAATTTACTTTTCCTTTGCTGAAAAGGTGACTCTGAAATTTTATACGAAAACATGCGTCTTTGTGTTCACAGCTATTTTTTTCTCGATGTGATTTCCGAGAACTCCGCCGTTCCTTTGTATTTTAGTTGAACGACAAACAGATCATTGAGTAACGTGTCTGTTATTAAATTGTCACCGAGACGATTGTTGTTGGTTCACGCAGATAACATAGTTGTGTCGCGAATTCATCGTCTAATTTTCCTTCCGTGGTTCTTGCCATCACTGAGAAAATGACGATTTCGTTGGAATTCAGTAATTTGGTTTAATTTGAAGGAAAAAAGTTCAACCTGCACTTGTCTTCATTTGATTGCCCTAGGAGGGCACTTTACCCAGCTGGCAAGTGCTCGTCGTGAACAAAATTAGACATGTCTCGATTGTATTGTCCTGGAAAAATGCGCGAGTATTATTGTATTACGTGCAACGTGTGCTAGTGATTGAGAGCAACCAATACAGAGCCGGAGTTTGTTGATCTTTCTTGAAGAGCAATAGTTAAAGACACTTGATTTATCAAACCCGTGTGTCCAATGGTGGCGCTAGAAGAAAAGATAAAAGTCCGGAGGAAAGTATCTTGTGAAGAAACTATCTTTGGCCGTACTGCAATTGTTGTCGTCCAAGGGTATTGGACTATCACTAGAATTGATTGTTGTTAGGTACACTATAGTTAAGTAGATTAACCCTAAAAGGGCCGGGCGGAATTCGCCCCCGCCCCCCTCGACTTTTTCCGCGATAGCCTTGAAAAAAATTTTTTCGCGACCCGAGCTGTTGTGACTCTTTAGCCTTGAGCCTTGCGCATCTTTCGATACCAAAAATATAAAAAATTGGACCAAAAAATATATAAATTTTCCGGCGCTACGCGTCGTGAAAACTGAATTTTCCTATATTCGTCGTGTACACAGAGCAGAATTACCATTAGTACATATGAATAATTAATTAGCCATAATTCAAAAACCCTTGGATCTATAGTCGTGAAATTTCTTGGGTATGTTCATGAATAGTTGTTCTATGCATGTACCATGTTTCAAAATTTTTGTCACTCGATGGCCGAGATCTTAGGGGGGGGGGGGGCGGAATTCCCCCGGCTGAGAGATGGTCAAAATAACCCGGCCCTTTAAGGGTTAAAGCATGACGCAAGTCACTTCTTTCAAGATGTATTATTTAGCCACAGTTTCTTCTTGTCCCGTCCCCCTTTCATAATGAAACGAACTTCAAACATTTGCAAATGCACAAGAGAAGAAGATTTTTCTACTTCACTATTGCTCTCAGAATGAGTAAGCTATAGGAAAAAAGTATTAATCGTGGGCGCCATGATTTTTTTTCTGGAGGGGGGCAAAGCACTAATCAAAATCGTTGAAAAAGTCACCGGCTGCGGAACTACTCAAAAAAGCCGGGGGAGGGGTGGGGGGGGGAAAGAGGGGTCATGATTTCACGCCTGGAGGCGTTGTTCATAAACGTTTAAATGCGTACACAAAAACTCGTTTTAGGCTCCTTTTGGTAGTTTCTACTGCTAAATATACATTAAATTAACAGCGGCATATTTACTTCCAATCTTTCCTATTCCTTTTCTTTTTTCTTTTTCTCCCCCCCCCCCCTTTGATTTTTTAATGTGAACTTTTCCGGGGGGCTAGCGCTCCCCCCCCCCCCCCCCCCCCCCCCCCCCCCCCCCCCCCCCCCCCCCCCCACTTAGCGAGCCCCAACGCTTTACTTCGCTTTTTCGACTTTTGCAGTGTACAATTATGTATTTTTTCCATGATTTTAATCTTACTTTAATTGTTCTCAGGTGTCTGAATATGCAAATCGTTTGATGACAGTTTTTACTTAAGTATTTCCGCGATACCCACTGTTCAACTTTTAATTTAATGTGTAAAGATTTAAACTAAATAATTATAATTAATATATAAAATAAATGGTCCATGATTGTTTTTATGTTAATCAAACTATCGCCCCGACTTACAAATACTGAGCGTTTTATCAAACTGTTAGCCCTCTCGGAGCCGGTTATTTTTCTTGGGGGAACTTGCAACCGGGAGGGAGCGGAATCTTTCTGATCTCACAAAGACACTCTTTTCTAAATTTATTATGCTAAGAGAAACTTCCGTGCTCAACACATGTGCAAGGTTTTAGCTCAATCGGACAAAATTGTTTTGTAATTATGGCCATAAATATCCTTTGCCTACGTCCATTTTGTGAGCGCGGTGTTCTATACCCGGTCAATGAAGGGGGAAACCTTCGGTAAACCACGTCGAAAATTTGACATTGTGCGGGAACGAAAACCTGATTTTCGTGAAAGCTGTGTCTGAAAGTCCGTCTAAAAATTCATAAAGGTTTGGCACGGAAAAATAAAAAAATAAAATCACATGGTACATTAATTTTATTGGATTAAATTCTCGATGGGGAAATGTCGAGAGTTGTGTTACAAAGTTTACCTTTTCCGAACAAAATAACTTACAAGAATGTGGCTGCTTATCTGCAACTGATATGATTTACTCTGGAAAAAACTAAAACGCGTGCTTAGCGTAATGAAGTCTGTTGTAATAATTCACACTTACCTGCAGCCAAACTGAGTATATAGATTGCAGCGTTGGACTTTCTATACTTGGGCTTGCTGTAAACCATCCAGACCATGAAGTTACCGGTGAAGCCTAGCAGGCAAACCACGGTCAGGAGGGGTACCTCGTAGCCTGGTTTGTACCCGTCACTTCCAGCTTGGCCCGGTGGAACCTCAGACTCCGAGTCGTAGTCCGAGGAGTTCTCCATGGATAGCGGGTCTTGTGAACTAACAGATCAAGAAAACTGCGGATTCTTTCGGAGCTTCTGGCAACTGTCGGTCGGGCTTCCGTCCGTGTCTTTTTGTATGAAACTCGAAAGATCAGATGCGACGTTTCTGAGACATCTTTACTCAGCTTCTTGTTTGTACATGTATTTACTTGTCCCTCACGTGACTGGCTTGAAGTGGATAATTCTCGTCGCTGATTCGTCAAGGAATATCAATGATTAAGTCGCGATTGTTTGTTTGTTTTCAAGTACTGTATTTTGTTGCAAAACGTCTCAAAGGAAACATCAAAAAAGACATTTCTGAACAGAAAGTACAGTCCTGATGCTGAGAATGCGTCGCTCGTTTTAAGCAAATCAAGGTAAAAGCTGAGTCATCAGGATCGGAGAAAAAAAAGGTTTTCCCAGTTTGCTGTACAGGTTGTTCAGCTGATTTCAAGGCATGTATAAACTTTGAAAGTTATTCTCAAAATTAATTGAGTCTTGAAAAAAAAATTGAATAGATAATCCAACTGAACGTTTGTTTCCCAAAGGACTCCGAGAAAATATTCTGCTTGAAGCAGAAGTTTGTAAACGAAGTTATTTCGTTTGAATCCCCCTTGCATCCATTCACACAATGATTACAAGATTGTTTATCAAATCATTTCGATGTACTGCGAATTTGTGCGAAAAGCAATCCTTTTATATATTTTTCCATCAAGTTTTTTTTAGCACATCGTATTTTTCCCCCGAGTATTGAATATTAAGCTAATTTAAACCTTCGGGTTGACAGTGGCTTTTTATCCAATTTTGCTGATTTGAATTTCGTAGTAAAGGTGGATCGTTTTCATTAATTTTCCAGACGGGGGGGGGATTATTTAATTCTTCAATCGTCTTCTTGATGAAGAACTTTTGCCATTTTACTAATCCTTTGGGATTAAAAGACGCCCGTGGTCTTTCGTGAATAACTGATTAATCCCATTGAAATGAAAACTCATTGGCGGTCGTACCGATGAGTTATTTTCATTTTAGCTTGAAGTATTTCTGGGGTTCATTTGTCCTTTCTATCGAAAAACGCACACAAACTAAAAGTCACTGACCGGTGTTGCACTATTCGTGTAAATAAAAAAAAAAAATAATTAACTAAATGGCAAATTTCTTCTTTTATTTCATTTCATGCTGTACCCTTGTTTCAAAACTTGAGTTTCATGGCTTCAACTTATAGATAATTCAAGTTTCACCAAAATGCAGTTCGATAATCATTCACATCAATAATAAACTCTCCATGTTCTGAAAAAGTTTCCTTTTTTGAAATGATAAAACCCAACTTTTCAAATAAACAGGCTGACTTTTCCAGGTGTTTTGGATGCATACTCCATAAAAATCAGCATGCAAGGGATTTCATTATCAGTCGCGTTCGATTGTCTTTTTTTTTAAAACTAAACATGTACTAGCTTTCGGTTTTACCAGCTAAAAATAGTTGAAGCGATCAGGTTGGTTTCAGAGGGAAATGTTTCTGTGACGTCTGTAGTTTTAATCCCGCTTTGTTTCGATATCACTATCCTGTCACCTTTAGTGCTGCTTTTACAGTGCTTGCCATGTTCTACATATATATACCGACATTGTGATTAAATTTAACACATGATTTAGGCTGAAAAAGAGCTATTTCTGTGTAAATGTTCGTTGCGTCTGTGGCAATATTATATCTGTTCACAGGCGCATTTGCGACTTACACAAAATGTGTAACTCTGGACAAAGTGTACCGTAAAGAAAAATGCATTTTATAGAAAAATTCAGTTCCAAGAGTCTAAGATTCTGAGCCAGAAATTGAAAGATGACTTTTCCTCTCCTGAACACGGTTATATTTACATTACTTGCGTCCTAATGGTTTCTCTGCCAATCAAGCGGTCAGCGTTTATCAAAGAAGTTGTTTGATGAAATTAAAGGTTTAAGTTAATATCTTGTTGAGATGTCTCTATCTGATCAGGAAGAAGCTGATGGGCACTCATGTAGTTCTCGATCTCTATGTGCGTGGTACAAATTTTCATATTGTCACAGACTGTGCATGCTTTCTCTGCAGGATACTGTTTTTGCTCGATTCAGAGGGCCAGTCTGTTGTTATTTGACTGACTGACTGACTGACTGACTGACTCCCCGAGTGAGTGAGTCACTTGAGTACGGCCGAAAACATAGCCTTTCTGGTCTAGCTTTGCTCGACCAGGCAATCACAGTCTTGCTAATTTTGTCCATCACGCTAGTCAAGAAAAACTGAACGAGCGTGTCTGCGATGCGTACGTTGCCCTGTTGCTGAGGTTTTGCATCTCAATCTCATCCACCTGGTCCGCCTCTCGTTTCCCATGGCAACAACGCGCCAGACGCACGATGCAAAACGCCTCCTGGAAGGCCTTACGAAGGCTGGGCAGATTGAGGGCGCTGTTCACTAGGGGGTTCAGAGAGCATCGGATCACTGACATGGCGGCTGCAGTGAGGTGTATGTCGAGGAGGAACTCCCAAGCTTTGGAGGGGTAGGAACCAGACAGGATCAACAAGAAGATGGTGCTGGCGGGCCGCATGATGTTGAGAACGATATGAGCGCCGGTCGTGAGAAGCAGCAGGAAAACCACCCGATTAACCCGCCACCGGTGAGTCACGGATGCGGCAGACGATTTCTGAAAGAGTCGCCTGGCCAGCCAAAGATACAGACAGGTAACAAGCAATAGCGCGATCACTTCAAAGATGACAACAAAGACAAGAAAGACCCGTTCACTACCCACGATCACAACCCGAGCAAGCCCCACTGATGATGCTGCCATCCAAATCCCCGCTGATACCACGAAGACTTGAGATGTACCGGCTCTGATCTTATACGCCAGCGGCCAGCGGACGGCCAGGAATCTCCTGAAGGCTGCAGCTGTCAGGAAACAGGGAGAAGCTAAGATGGCTGTCAAGACTAGACAAGGAGCGAGGTAGGTCTTAAAGACGCCTGAGATCCTGGTGTCTGAAACTACATAGATCAGTGTTGTCGTTAGATAAGTACCGTCTGCTATAGAGGCATTGGCGAAGTAGATGTTGACTGGAGTGCGCATGGATCGAACACGTTCAAACACGTACAGGTAAACTGCATTGACCAACAGGCCCAGCGGTGCCATGACCTTCACAATATTGTACAAAATTGACTGGGTTGTCTGTGGATGCTGTATAAAATCGCAACTTGTTCCTAAACAGAAGTACACATTAGCAATCGAGAAGTTTGCCATGATGACAGCCGTCAGTAACAAAATGCCGAACTGTTGAAACTCGTAGGCACTTGTCTCTGGTTTGAATGTGTTTTAGATTGAGGTCTGTCTTCCACAAGTCACACGATAAAGTAGTTGGCGTGGAGTTTATATACTTTTCCCTGAAATACGAAACAGAAATCTGTTGTCCGAACGTTAAACATTCAGATATCAGTTTCATAATTGAAATCGAAAATGTGAAAGCTGCGCCGTGGACCATTCCGAAGGGGGATGGGTGAGGCGTTGCTGTCATTGCAAAGCAACATTTGCAATAATGAGTGGTGATATTATTCAAGGAACTTCAGGAAATATTTGATTTTGTCCATTATGTCTTGAAAATAAATAACTTTGGTCAGTTGAGGGCAGGGTTAGCCACCTCAACCACTCCCGTTTCTTTTCCTCTGACCTGTCTGTCCAATATTCATCGGGCACGTTTCTTTGACGTAATTGAAAGAGAAATTAAGGCTTCAGTTTCATGCTGTGTGTATTTTTTTTTAGGAATTATACTTTCCTTTTAAGGCCAAAAAAAAAAATAAGTCGGTCTCTGGTCAGCGCGCGCGTCGATTTTAATCATGCGCGTCAATCTTTTTTTTTCCAAAATGTTCCGCGGTAGCTCCAACAGCGCCCTCTATTGCCGCACCTCCTCAATTTTTTTTTTACCAAAGAGCACCAAGGAATGGGAAATTACGCCAAGGCAAATGATCGAGAGCACCGAGGCAAATTATGGAGGACACCAATGTACATGAGGACACCAAAAAGCTAAATAGTACCCCACCTTGTCTGTACAATCCAAGCTTGAAGAAAACAAAAAGGGGGAAAAAAAAAAAAAGCCGCATCGCCGCGTCAATTCCGGAACTTTGGTCTGACCAGAGACCGAATATTTTTTTTTGGCCTAATCTTCCTTTTTTCCTCAAGTACTTAACTTACATAACAACACACGGACATACGTTTTAAATTTATGCTGTAATTCTCAACGGCCGAAGAAAAATCGGCGAAGTATGGCCTACGTTGAAATAAAATCAACTATCAAGAGATGAATAATAAGGGGGACAGAAGCAAAGTTGAATACCATAGGGGTTGAAAACCTAATCACTTGTTGGTTTGGAATCGAACCCCAGACCACATAATTTCTGGGAGGTTGAATCACCACCAGTGGCGGATCGGGGGAGGCTTAGGCTGTCTACACCCCCCCCCCCCTTCCGGGCCGCAAAATATAGAAAATATCATGCAGAAACACGTCTTCTTAAACCCCTTGACCGTTAACCCCTCCCACTTGAGCCAAAGCCGGATCCGCCCCTGACCACAGCGCCAGCCTCGAAAACAATTTAACATACATAGCCAATTGTGTTATCACTACTTCGTTAATGTTACACACTCATAGGGAACCAGTTCGAGCGAGGACCATGGGCCTTATGCACGAGTTGGCCATTTCATTAATTGTTAACTGTTGAATGGGATGGCGCCAGACTATTTATGCAGGCATAATGCAGCCTTATTTTACTTTCATTTTTTTAATCTAGCTTGAATGTTTAATTACACATTTTAAATTATTTATTGAAGCAGACTGGAATTAAATTAGCTTGCTTTCATTTCTCTTTCCAGGTTAAAAAAAATTACATTTTTACCTCACTTTCAATTCAATATGTTCGACTCGTGAATAAGGCCCATTAGTCGACTAGTGGTTGATTCGTGACGTAAACTTACGCCTGCGCACTGATAGCAACTTGCGAACGCCTTTAGTAAAACGATGGTCAAAACGTCATCACAAAACTTCTTGGTCCTGACTGCTTTGTTTTATGATGCGCGCGGTTATTGGTAACCAGTGATGCAACTGTGTCCTGTGGCCCAGTTCCAAATCGACGAACTACAGTAGTCCGACAATCCTTCGTTCGAGCGA